GGCGCGGCAAACATGGATAAACGTGCCTGCAAAAAAGACGGTTTTTCCCGTGACACTATTATTTTAACTACCTTCACTCAGTGGCAATGTTTATTGCTTTAAAAATCGCTGATTACAATTGGAATAAAACCTAAACATATGATGAAAATAAATCCATATGTTCTTAAGAATTTACAACACAAATATTTATCACTAGCAGCATGGCCCGGCGTTGCCCGTGCTTGATTCAAAAATCGTACGACTCATACAGCAATCGCTATCACTTGACTTAAAATATTTTTGCCCTCCCTTGCCTTTAAAGGAGTGCCCTTTGCCGGGCTGATGTTGCTACATGCCTTACTTCTTGCCTATCTCACACTGAGAATTTTTTCTAAGCTCTATACTAAAAATTAAATCTGTTACGAAAAAAAGAACTAAACAAAATGAACACAAAACGATCAGCTTTAAAAAAGGACTCGTAACTGGAAAAACCGAATGAAAAAAGAATGTTAACAACAAATAATTTTTCACACACAACCCAGTTCTGCGGAATCAGAATCAACGTTGAGTTTAAGCAAGCGAATGAGCCAATTGGAATAAAGTTCCATGCAGATTTAAATTTTTCCCACCTGTGACATATGCAACTATCGATTTTTTTTGCATGCTAGCATACTAGTTAACATTCGTGTCAGTCAGCTGTTGGCTCTCACGCTGGCCAATAGAATCTTCCTGCCTATTTGTGGCAGCCAGCTATAGGCTCCCACTCTGGTCAGTAGAAAATGGCCGCAAACTACAGGAAAACTGCTGTAGAAGCATGAAAAAATCGATTATTTTCACTATCGATGGGAGTTGGGAAATGCAAAGTCGGTTTTGGCCTTGCCGCTAACTTGGAGCATGTGCATGTAAATTTTGGTGCAAATTCATCGAAAATTGCGACCGTGCATTCATTACACACACACACACACACACACACACACACAATCCTACCTTTTATAGACAGATTATTTATTTATTAGATTGTTTATTTACAAGAAAATTTTTATATTTTTCTAAAAACTAATACAATTGTATTAAAACTAATGCAATACAATATTTATCATTTACCAATTTATAAAGTGTTGTGACCAAGTTAAGTGTTAAATTGTTAAGTGCACCAGAAGAGTATTACACGACTAGAAAGTGTGTACCGAACGGACTAGCAGTCGATCTGTTCACTGTTCCCCGAAGTCTTCTGTCCCACTAATCTTATAGTAGGCGGAAGAGTCTAACATAGAGGGAGGACACCACAACATAAAGAAATAAATGTGAAAATAATTTTTATTCATAATTTTTTTTACATTTACTAAATTATTAAAATATGTGAGCCAACTGTAAGGAAATCCTTATTATTGACCATTTTATAAAGTTTGAATCAATTTGTAATTCGCCGATGTTTTATCAACCATTGCAATATAGAATATAATAAATAAATAGTGTTTATTATTTTGTTGTGAATTCTCAAGAACAAAGAAAATATATAAATTCACTTTCATATGTTTAGATTTTCCATTTTACAATTTTAATCGACGCTTTTTAAAACAATAAACACTGCCGAAGAGTGAAGGTTGTTAAAAAAAAAGGTGTCATTGGAAAAACCGTCCCTTTTTTTTAACACTACGTCTTAGCGCGGGCACGTTTATCCGTGTTTGCCGGATGGCACATTTTGAATTTGATGCAATTATTTGTGGTTCTCCCGTGAAAAATTTTTAATTCAGGAGCGCTATGAAACTCGATCGAAGAATTTTTTTTTTATTCCACAATTATCAATGGCTATTTTCACATAACTTCCCTACACGCAAGCCACCAATCTGCCGCTAGATGGCTTGCCACTAACGTTTACTGTCGGGCCGCCGTCGTGTTCGTCTCGGTAATCTCACCACTGGCGGACCGCTGGAGGCCCATCAGTGGCTGCCACCAGAGGACCGCTGGCGTTGCCTACTAGCGACTTGCGTGTAGGGAAACATGCTTTTATTATCTTTGTACCAAAATTCCCAGCAATTTTTTTTTTTTGACAACTAGAAACTGAATACGCAAGTCGCATGTTTTTGAACCAACCCAGGAAGAACTGCCCAATTTGCATTTTTTAACCTTTTGCGCGGCCTTGTGGATAATGAATTATTTCACGCTCTGCAACCCTCTCCCACGAACGAGACGTCGCTAGCCTCGCGCTACTCCATTTTCATGGCAAATGATGTTTAGACGAGCTAAATTCCTCAGTTCCACCAGTTCAAACCTTCACAGACACGTACACAGGCTCGAAACATCATCATTCTCTTCTTATTCCATTAATAAGGAAGAAGTTCCCTTTAGGTAATTTACCAGAACTGTTTGTGGAACACAATGTCGAGATGACGTTTCCCCGATGACTATAATTTTAACCTCTTCAAGTCTAGGATCAACCGTTATTTTCCCTTCATAATCCTCATAATCTGCACTTCTTACTTTCGCCCTCTAGGCCCTTATAACAACCGCATTCAGTAACCCTCTACCTTGAGTGGCTCTTGCTCTTTGTATTGGGTGAAGAATAATATAAAATATTTATTCTAATATAACTTATATATATTATATTAAAAACGCAATTCCGTTTTCTCCATAGAAAAAAACAAAAAAACAAAACTATTTTCTGTTAATTTATTGTATGTGAGTATCTGTCTGTGTTTGAGTGAGAGAATCAATAAGTCTGAAGCTTATTTAAGTAGAAAAGTATTTATTTCAAACAACAAATATATATTTGCAACATAAACTCATTTCTTGTCAATTCACTGAATTTCGGGTTGAATAGTAATCACGTAGGTCAAACATTATACGGTGAATATTTCAGATCAAAATTCAGTTAAAATCTATTTGGCGATAGACCAATGGGTCCACTTTCATATATTATTTCGTTTTATTTTCTTTGATGTTGAGCGTTTTTACTCATTTACTTTCAATGAAAACACTTTACAATGTTATTTCACTGACCTGTGGTGGAACAACTATATTGAATCAATAGCTTCATCTACCACAAGGAAAGATCGTTCTCTGTGTCGCGCCAGAAGGTTTTTCTCGCCTGAGTTCATTTTTCAAATCTACAAATCTACCATTCGTCCTTGCATTAAATCCTGTTGTCATATATGATCTGGTGTCTTCGCTGTTCATCTCGAGGTCCTCGGCAAAATCCAAAGATTGATATGCAATGTGATAGGTCTTGACTTGGCATCTCGGCTACAGTCGCTTTCTCACAGACGTGCTGTGGCTTCCCTCTGTCTTTTCTACAAATATTTTCATGGCAACTGCCCTGACGAGCTACTTTCTCTGGTTCCCAAACTGCATGAATTTAAGTGTGCTACTAGGTTGGCATTTCAGTCCCACTCTTTCACTGTCAAAACAGTTAAATGCAACCAGCTCTTTTACTCCAACAGCTTTTTCGCTCTCACTTCCCGACAGTGGAACTCCCTTCCTCTTACTTGCTTCTCCTGATAGCTATAATTTCAAATATTCAAATGTAATGTCAATCGACATCTTCTGATGCCTTGATCTCATTCTCCGCTCTTCTCTTTATCCTTTCCTCAATCACATCTATTTTGCTCTCACTCTCTGTAACCCCTTGCATGCTAGTGGCACTCCTGGTTTGTTCGGGGTGAAATTCTTTAAAAAAATCGTTTATTCACTGCATCAAATTAACATCAGATGTGGATGGTTTGTAGTTTTCAACCATTTGGTCTTTTTTCTGGCAAGGACTCCGCCATATACCGTTTTGAATTCAGAGTAACCCTTCTCCTATACTGGTTGCCAACCGTGGCTAAAACATCCAGTTTGCTACTTATTTTGTGTGAAGAAGTGATGGATTCATAAGGTAATTATACGAAAGTGAATACAATGATCTCAACCGGAATTCGAACTCAACTCATTGATTTCTCTTTCCGACACTTTACCAACTACACCGCCTGCACATCCCAAAACTTAAATACATTGCTTAAAACAGCAGTTAGTTGCATGCATCTTGCAAGTTATTTTGACTGAAAACGTGAAGTCAAGTTCAATGTAGTTCCGGGTATGACGATAAACTACATCCGGCAGCAAGGCCTCTGATCGTGAGGTCGGAACCAACCACGACTTAATTGATGTTGACCCTAGGTCCACCCTGACTCGGGGTGGTAGCACCTGTTAGAGTCCCAGCTATGGATAAATAGTGAACGCCCAAACAAAAAGAAAGCACTATGAAATTATAAAGATACATTTTTATAGTAAAAATACCAACAATATATTTTTATATAAAAAATTACCGACAATTGATATTTATAGAAAATTTACCAACAATATGTTTTATTTGTAGTTAAAAGAAAGAAAGAAAAAGAAAGCATGAAATAAAAGAAAGACAAATATAAATAAGGGGACAAATAAATGCACAATACAAGAAGTAAAATAAGAAAAAAGGAAAAATAAAGGAAAACTATATAAATAAAATAATTAAACGAAGAGAAAGTAAAAAAAGAAAACGTAAAGAAGTAAAATAAAAATATATCAAGAAAAATAAAAATAAAATAAAAATAAAGACAAACTAAAAAATGGATATAAATAAACAAAAATAAATCGATGAAAGGAATAAACAAAGAAGAGAATAAAGAAAAGACGAAGGAGAAATGAAAGAAAAATTAATAAAAAGAATTAACGAATAAATAAATAAAAAAATAAAGCCAAAAAGGAATAAAGAAAGAAAGAAAAAAGAAAGAAAAAGAAAGAAAAAAGAAAAGCGGAAAGAAATCATGAAAGAAAATAACGAAAGAAAAAAGAAGTAAACAGAAAAATAAACAAAAAAAATAAAGAAAAAAGAAATTAAGAAAAATAAATAAATAAATAAAGAATGAAAGAAAAAAAAGACGGAAAAAATAAAGAAATAAACAAAAAAATAAACAATGAATGAAACGAAAAAAGAAAGAAAGGAAAAAGAAAGACAGAAATAAATAAAGAAAGGAAGAAAGACGCATAGAAAAATAAATAAATTAAGAAAGAATGAAAGAAAAAAGGTAGGAAGAAAGATAGAAAAGAAGAAAGACGGAAAGAAATAAAGAACGAAAAAGAAAGAAAAAGGAAAGAAAAAAGAACGAAACAAAGAAAGAAAAATAAAGAATGAATGAAAGAAAGAAAGAAAGAAAGAAAAAAGACAAACAGAAATAAAGAAAAAGAAAGATATAAAGAAACAAAGATAGAAAGAAAATAAATAAAGAATAATAAACAAAGAAAGAAAGAAAAAAGAAAGACGGAAAGAAATAAAGAAAGACAAAGAAAGGCGAAAAGGTAAAAAAAATAAAGACGTTATGAACAGAAAAATGGTCAGAATTTTTTACAATTTCTATGAATTTCTTCACTTTCTGAGCGGCGGTTCCTTTTTTGGCAATTGTCTCTTTCTTGTCGAAGGATTTTAGTGTCAGATGTTTCGGCAATACTACAATAATAACGGCCATTATTTCTCTACTTTAGGATTTGCACAATAATTCTTCTTTCATGTTCAATGGTTAAAAAAACATCGACAGAACTGTGAATAAATATTACTTTTTTTTTTTAACTTATTCCATGATTTTATTGTAAATAATAATAATAATCAAAAATCAAGCTTAACAAATTCATAACAATCCCCTCCCCAAATATCCAATACATATTTTTAAGATCTATCAAGACTAACAAAAGAAAAAAAAGAAAGAAAGACAGAAAGAAAAAAGACATAACGTTGCGTGATACTGGGAAAGAAAATAAAAAAAATAATCCAATCAAGTGTGGACAATCGTCTTGATGACTGATTTCAATTGAAGTGATACAAAAGCTAGATTTCTTTTTACTAATATATATATATATATATATATATATATATATATATAAAGAAATATAGTTTTAATGTGTGCTATATTTATAGGATAAAGTGTTCACTATCAGAGATAGTGTATGCAAATATAAAAGTGAACATTGAAGTCAACACTCAGAGGCGACAGACATTTCCATGTTAAACGTAATCAGCCGGTCACCTGATGATTGCATGAAACAATCTGTTGCCTCCGAGTATTGACTTTAATCTTCACTTATATATATATATATATATATATATATATATATATATATATATATTATTAAACTTCTAAATAATAATAATCTATTAAATAATAGACACGAGTTAACTGTTTTTTGTAGACATCATCAGATTTTTGGTTTGAATTATTAGATAAAAAAAAAAAAAATTTATATAACTTGTTTAACAAATAGCCCAATCATCAGATTCATAGTAGGAATAATTAACTACAAACATGCATACAACATAACACCCTTCATAATCCATAGCCCAAATAAGTAGTTTAAATACCTTACATAAAAGATAACCCTTTATGAAGTCGTCAAAAAACAAACGTTACAAAAGTTTTCCTTTTTTTTATATGCACAATTCCCATTCATAATAAAATAAAATAAAATAAATTAATAAATCTCCATAGACAAGCAATCTAGACGAAGGTTAATACATCTTCCGTTTCATTTTAGACACCCCCACCTTTCCCCGACTTGACATCTTGAAAGTATCTCTATACCGCTACTTATTATTAACACCCTACACTCGCCTACCCAATTTAAACAATTCGTCCTAGCTGTTACCATGGGGATTTTGATTTCAATTTTTAAAACAAGTAAATTTCAGATATACGTTATTCCAACAAAAATTTCGCTTGAAGATGGAACGGAGCCCATTTTAATTTAAACTCAATTTAATTTAAAGGATTATATTGAAGTTTTCGGCTCTTGTTTTGAAACATGAGACCTCTTATGTAGCGATTTGGAATCATATTTTTAAAAATTAATTATATATATATATATATATATATATATATATATATATATATATATATATATATTACAGATTAGTAATTGGGGATATGTATAATTTTCGTAATGCCCAAATTCAGAATCCTCAACGTACACACATGGAGAAAAGCACTAGACAACTGTTTCGTCCTTTTTTTTAGCTTACATCAACAGTCTTTCTTTTTATGTGTCATGTCCTTTCAGGACGTAGGCGATCATGGCTCTCCACCTCCCTCTATCCCATGCAGCTCTCAACAAGTTCCTTCCCTCTGCTTCTTCACCCCCAGACCGCGCTCTGTCATCCACTGGCTTGTCACGCGTTGTTTTTTCATGTCCCTCTTTCCCTCTATTCGCCCCGTGAGTATCAGATTCTCCAGGCCCTCCTTCCTCATTATGTGTTCAGCTGCCTCTTTCTGATGTTAAGTATAAAAGCCTCCTCCTTGTTTGCAGCCTCTCTAAGATCTCATCGTTGCTCACATGCTCGGTCTATGATATCCTTAGCATCCTTCTGTAGAACCACATCTCCGTCACACCGAATCTCTTCTTCATCTTTGAGGAAATCGTCCAATATTCGCTACCGTAAAGAAGGACAGATGTATGCATCCTATAACGACTCTGGGAGTCGGACCCGGACGAAAAAAAGACGAATATCTGTGATAGGATAAAGAACAAATACGAAATGCGTTTGTCAATCTAATATGTTTAACTTTTATTAAATTTTCATCAGAGAATGTGATATGGAGAGAAAAAAAAATCTAGCATTTTTATTTTTCTGTTATTTGATTTTCAATGTGCAATTAATGGCGTTCCGAACTCCAGGAGAGACTACACGCAATTTCGTAACTCTAAAATTTAATTTGTTACTTATCCTATCATTCTGTCAGACCCCGATCTGCATTTGGTCCCGTCCCTATATATATATATATATATATATATATATACAACAAATGAGAAAAAGAACAGATGGAATACAAATCTTCAGTTCGTAGCATTTATTTTTAATATATATATATATATAATACATATATATATATATATATATATATATATATATATATATATATATAAATGCAAACAATTTAAATTGCAGGATTAATACATACATACATATATATATATATATATATATATATATATATATATATATATATGTATATATATATATATAAATGCAAACAATTTTAAATTGCAGGATTAATACATATATATATATATATATATATATATATATACACGTTTCATTAAATAATATAGTCAAGTGTTGTCTATTTATTTTATGTAAAATTTTTTATCTTCTGATAAGTTTGATAACATTATCATTAACCGAAAAAGAAATTCACAATATTTATCCATTATTTTTAATATAATCTAAGCTTTCGGCTTACTCAAGCCATTATCAAAGATATAATTACAAACATATCAAACGAATTAAATAATATTTATGTTGGTCACACCACAAACTCGCTTTCACGACGCTTGACACTACATTTTAATGAAAACTCTAACATTTTTAGGCATTTAAAACAACATGCCTGCCAGCACACACAATTCCGTAAAATACTTGTCGAAAACACAACTATACTTCGACATGAAAACAATAGACAAAAACTAAAAATACTTGAAGCATTATACATCAAACAGTTAAAACCCAACCTAAACAAAATCAACTATGGAATCTCTACAAATATTCTTAAATGTCAATAATTTCTATAATTGGTAACAGAAGCCATTGGTTTATACCAACGGCTTTCCTTATTTCATTCTCCAATTCACTCTCGTGTAGTCATGTGTGACGTCATGAGATGCGGTGCGATTTTCGCTTCTAGCGTCTTATATGCGCGTGTTCATCGTTGCTTAGTGATCCACTATGTAAACTAAACAATGACAGACTATCATCACTGTCGTGTCCGTATATTGTTTTGATATGTTTGTAATTACATCTTTGATAATGGCTTGAGTAAGCCGAAAGCTTAGATTATATTAAAAATAATGGATAAATATTGTGAATTTCTTTTTCGGTTAATGATAATGTTATTAAACTTATCAGAAGATACGAAAAATTTTACATAAAATAAATAGACAACACTTGTCTATTTTATTTAATGAAACGTGTATAAATGAAAATATGCTGCCTAAATACACACAATTTAAATATATATATATATATATATATATATATATATATATATATATATATATAAATGCAAACAATTTAAATTGCAGGATTAATACATACATACATATATATATATATATATATATATATATATATATATATATATATATATATATATATAAATTAATGCAAACAATTTCAATTACAGGATTAATAATCCCTTTACTGTTGTCCTCATCTTCATTTCGTAGTTTCTCTTCTCAACTCTAACTTCTTTCTGCTTTATATTAACGTTCTACCTAAGAACATTCTCAGAACATTAGAATATATATATATATATATATATATATATATGATAAAAATATGGTTTTAAGGTATGCTATATTTATGAGTAAAAGTGCTCAATATCAGAGATAGAGCGATTGTAAATATAAAAGATGACACTGAAGTCAACACCAAGCGGCCACAGCTTGTTTTATGCTTCAATGAAATCTTCAGTCCTGAAGATGGCCTCAAAATTGCGCTGAAGCATGAAAGAGTCTGTTGCCGCTTGGCGTTGAACTCCGTGCCCACTTGTGTTTTTTTTAACTTTTGTTAATTAAACGTAACAAAAATGTGTTTAAGATCAATTTGCACAAGCCTGTTTAGCTTATAAATTTCGACAATTTAATTGCTGATAGTAAGCACCTCACTACAAAATAGAAAGTGTGTATGTATGCAGCGGGCGAGGGTGTGTAAATCAGATGTGAAATGTAAGGGAGGCTAAATTTTAAAGTTTCCTGTTTTTGCATTTTTTATCTGATTCTCTTAATAAATGAAATCTTCTTTTTTAGATTGTTTTTTTTTTGTTTTTATTTTAAATAACACATTTTTTTGCTGTTTCTACTCATGTACCGGAATTAGATTTTTTACGCTTATAGAATCTAATGGTTCAGAGAAAAACTGACAATTAAGATTTTGTTTTATTTTAAAAATGAATTACTGTACAAATTGTACTGTACTTACTTATTTTATTAATGTACAAATTGATTTTCGACAAATGATGCAGCTCAGTTCAATTGAACTGTCGCCATCGACTGCGGTCAGCGTCCCGGGTAAGACGATAAACAACATCCGCGTCCTGGGTAAGACGATAAACTACATCCGCGTCCTGGGTAAGACGATAAACTACATCCGCGTCCTGGGTATGACGATAAACTACATCCGCGTCCTGGGTATGACGATAAACTATATCCGCGTCCTGGGTAAGACGATAAACTACATCCGCGTCCTGGGTAAGACAATAAACTATATCCGCGTCCTAGGTAAGACGATAAACTACATCCGTTTCCTGGGTAAGACGATAAACTACATCCGCGTCCTGGGTAAGACGATAGACTACATTCGAGAGCAAAGCCTCTGATCAGGATGTTTTGAGGAACCACCTCTTAATTGGTGGTGTTCCCAGGCTTACCCTGAATCGGGGTGGTGGCACCTATTCGGGTTCCAGCTATGGGGATAATAGTT